TCCCTCTCACCATCCAGGGTGAAAATGAAGACCACAGTGTCGATTTCCATGAGGGATGGCAAGATGGAAGTCAGGGAGTCCTCTTGGGAGAAGGAGAACTGGGGACCCCGGGCACGAGATGATGGGGGCCCGCCCATGAAAAACTCCCGCACACAGACCTGGAGATCACAGAGGGCTTCACAGGACCTCTCACACAGTGTGTTTGTACACAGATGGAAGAAATGAGGTTCAATGAGGTCAAGTGTTTTGCCCAGGATGATAAAGCAAGTTAAGGGAAGAGCCCTGGACTAGAGCCAGCTTTAAAGGGAAAATCCAGAGCCTTCCACCCTCCCTGTGCTACCCCAAAGCCTCCCGACCTCTAACCCGTATTCCTTTCCCTGGACTGTCTGCCCTGCTCTACTCCCCCACCTGTCCCCACCTCCCCTCACCTCCCACTCTCTGCACACCAGTCACCTTCACAACCTCCCCCATGTCCCATCATCCTCCCACCTGGTTGAGGAGCTCAGTCCTCTGGTTAAACATATCACTGTGATCACCAATGAGAAAGCTGCGGACATCTCGGTAGTCTGGAAAGTTTAAGGACAGGGAGAAAGGAGTGATGGGCTTTATAGGAAAGATTGATTCTAGGCTTGGGGGAATGTTCATGGGTCTTGGAGGAAAGTGCCAAGGGGGGTGTAGGGTGAGGTGTCACACACATGGGAGGCCACAGCTAAGCAGGGCTGGGAGTTGAGGGACCAAGGCCTGAGTAGGAGTTCAAAGCAAGGAGCATTTGACTGAAATGCCTATTCAAATAGGACAGTCTGGACATGGAATGAGGAACCCCCATGGGCTGGGGATGAGGGGAGGAAATCGGTTTGCATTCAGGAGGAGCCAGGGAGAAAGTCTGGACTGGGGTCCCACTGGCACCAAAGGTGTGGATACACTCCACTCCATCCATGATGGCCATGATGCCCAGGGTCTGCCAGCCAACCAGGTACAGGCGGCCTTTTTTCTCCAGGCTGAGCATGGGCCAGAGGTCAGGACACAAGAGGAGATACGGCAGTGAGAAAAGATCAGGGATCAGAGAAAGCTGCACATGGCCAAGCACAGGTGTGAACCAACAGAAAGGTTACCTCACCCTCCACCACACAGACCTGCTCCCCTCACCGTGTTAAGGAGTCCTGTAGAGTCTCTGCTGTTCTCAGGACAGTATCCCACCCACGCCACCTCCCCACTCCTAACATGTTTCCACACACCTGGTGCTGTCTTGCTTCATCAGGGCAGCGATCTTTGGGCTTTGGCTCTAGGTCACCTGATGAGCCCGCTCAAATGTCCGCAGGATTTCCAGAAGGCACATGGGAGAAAAGCCACCAGCTCCCGGGGTGGGCCCAGGGGCCCCTCTAGATAGCATGGGTACCCACCCCTGCCCAGGGGAAGGCACAATTCCCTGAAAACTAAGTTCTGCTGGTCCCTATTGGAGGTGCGGTGAGTACTGTCAGAACGCATGACAGAGGACAGAAAGGACTTCAATGAGCAGAACACAAAGATCCAATATTATTCTGCTCCAATGAGCAGAACACAAGGACATGAAGAGAGCGGTGAGAGCAGGATGGGATCGGAGTGGATGAGGAGGAGGTAAGTGGGGATTCTGGGAGCCAGGCCAGAGACACAGGCCCCAGCAGAAGGAGTTCTTCCTGCACAACCTGGACCATCCCCAAGCCAAAGACTCTCTGAAACTAAGTGAGCTTTCGTGTCCCAGGTGGGCTCAGGGATTAGGTGTCCCAGGTGGGCACAGAGATCAGTGGGACCTGAGGAGCCCAGGGTCCTCTGGAAACAAGTGAGACTTTGTGTGCTAAGAAACCCAGGCCAGCTCTTTTCCCAGGGCCCAGGGTGGGGTGGTGGTGGGACTGGGCCTGAAATTAGCATCCACTGCAGCACATACATTTTTGGTGAAGGAGAGTCCTCCATTAAAAGGAGCAGGGTTAAAAGTATCTCAGACTCATTTATATCTTCACATGAATTACGCTACAAGCCTGGAATCTGGAGTTGAAAAAAGGACCTCAGAAAGCACCCAGCCGCCCCTCCCCCCAGGACCACCACTGCATGTGCAGAGCCGCTCTTGAGGAATCGACAAGCCTTCCCTGGAACATTCCAGTGACAGGAAGCCTTCAGCTTCATCAAGAGGCCCACGCCAATGGTGAAGTCAGCAGAGCTCCCCGCACCTGGCTGGGCACCAGCATCTCCAGGGCTGGTCTCAAAAAATACGGTATTTCAGGGCCTCACCCCAAAGCAACAACATCCGAGCTCTCGCACAAGGGCCCATGAGTCTACTTTCTTCTTGCTTTAACGCTCCTGACGCTCAACACCCAGGAACCACACCTGAGCACGATCGGTTTCACACGCTGACCTCTGGGATCCAAGCTGCCGTCTACATAGAGAATAAGGCAGAGGTGATTGGGTGGCACAGAGTGCTCAGGAAAGGGGGATAGGGTGGGGGTTTGAGTAGCCAGAGAGGGACCCAAGGGGAGCCTAGGATGACAAAGGAGAATGGTTGCTACAATAAGGGAGCTGGGCAAAGGGACATCAGAGGCCACTCAGCACCCACGGCTCCTTTGAAAAGATGCTTCTCTTTGGGGTACACATCGTCCTGCCCCTATTCTATCTTCTGGCCGTTGTTTTCCTTGTCTCTTCACTTCCTGTTTTGAATGCCTGCTTTCTGGTATTTTATGTGGCCTTTGTAAGCTACCTTCAATCCTTTCCGAAATAAGAGACTACATCAACCAGTGGACCAAAAAAATGAAACAAAACCAGAAACAAAACAAAACAAAAACCCCCCAAAAACAAAAACCTCGGGGCACCTGGGTGGCTCAGAGGGTTAAGCCTCTGCCTTCGGCTCGGGTCATGATCTCAGGGTCCTGGAATCGAGCCCCGCATCAGGCTCTCTGCTCAGCAGGGAGCCTGCTTCTCCCTCTCTCTCTGCCTGCCTCTCTGTCTACTTGTGATCTATCTCTGTCAAATAAATAAATAAATAAATAATAAAAAATAAAAAAATACAAAATACAAAATACAAAAAACAAAAACCTCATAAGCTCAGGGACAGTCCGTATTTATTTTAATGTTCTGAGATGCGGTGAATAAGACCATAGCCACTGTAAGGGACTACTTAGCCAGAGCGAGCCATTTTGTTGTTTATGCAGTAAACTTAGATTGAACCTGCTCCTTCCCCCCAAGAGGAAAGCACTTAGAAACAGAACTGGTGAAATATAGCCAAATAGCCCCACTAACGGAGCACAGATACCAGGACATGTCGGGCTGGGCAAAAATAACAGAGCCCAGATACAAGGATGTGTTGGGCCAGGTGGAGACATCCAATCAGTGAAAGCGCACATATTACCCACCAGGGAGCGTGAGCCCCCACCTTTTGGGCGCCAGACAAAGGCGCCAATTCTAGCCAAAGTCATAGGCTGAATTAGATGACTATCATGGGGTAGAATGTAATTCAATTGGCCACCTGTGTGTGGCCAGGCTCAACCACATGGCCTTTACTCTATAAAAGTTAGTCTTTGAGGCTGGGAGGGGTCGCCTCTTTGCAAGAGACGACCCTGGCCGGTCAGTTTGATTCTCGATGCTTGGCGCAAAATAAAGCTTTGCTTGACCTTCGCCTTGTATCAGTCTCGTCCTTTTGTCTCTGGACCGTTTCAGCCACCATGCCCTCCTCTTTGTGGCTGTACTGAAAATTTTAGTTTTTGGTTTGTTTGTTTTGTTTTGTTTTTTAAAGATTTTTATTTATTTATTTGACAGAGAGAGATCATAAGCAGGCTGAGAGGCAGGCAGAGACAGAGGGGAAAGCAAGCTCCCCGCTGAGCAGAGAGCCCAATGCAGGGCTCAATCCCAGGACCCTGGGATCATGACCTGAGCTGAAGGCAGAGGCTTTAACCAACTGAGCCACCCAGGCACCCCTGTACTGTAGATTTTGGCAGGTTTCCTCTCAGCCTCCCCCAGGGGCCTGGCCAGTCACCACCTTTCATTACAGTGGGCTCACCTGGCCATGTTTACAGGGTTGAAACCAACCAGGACTGGCAAGAAGGTGGCTGGGTTGTCCATGCAGTAGTCCATCTGGCCTGCCACAAAGGGAGCCTGATGGTAGGGGGAGAAAAAGGGCACGATGAAAGGGGAGGGGTTACTCTAGTGTTTCCTGAGGCCCAGGAGCATCAGAATCCCCCTGAGTGCTTGTTAGAAATGCACAGTCCCGGGATGCCTGGGTGGCTCAGTTGGTTAAGCAGCTGCCTTTGGCTCAGGTCATGATCCCAGCATCCTGGGATTGAGTCCCACATAGGGCTCCTTGCTCAGCAGGAAGCCTGCTTCTCCCCCTGTCTCTGCCTGCCTCCGCCTGCCACTCTGTCTGCCTGTGCTCACTCTCTGACCAAAAAAAAAAAAAAAAAAAAAAAGAAAGAAATGCACAGTCCCAGGCCCAGGTAAGATCTACTGGATCTGCCTTGGAAGGGGACAGCCCCAGGCCTGTATTTTTAACAAGTTCCCCCAAGGAAATCCTCTGCATGGTAAAGTTTCAAAACTACTGAGCTAAATTGTATGCTCCTTAGGGTCCGTGTCCTGCCCTCCTTGTGTGCCTCCTTCCGCATCTAGCATTGCTGGACCTGTTTCTGCTTAGTGAATTGTTAGAATCAGTACACTGCAGTGGTGAGAGAAAATTGGGGTCACCAAATCCAGTGCTTGGAATCTTGTTAAATGCAGATTCAGACTCAGACTCAGTAGGTCTTGGTTGGGGGTGAGATTCTACATTACTAGTAAATCCTAGGAGATACTGATGTTGCTAAGCAAGGACTGTTATGCCCCAATAATGGGTCCGTGATTAAAGGAGCGAGACTGATATAAAGCAAAGGTCAAGCAAAGCTTTATTTTGCGCCAAGCATCAAGAATCTAACCGAACAATCGGGAACGCACCTCTTGGGTGGCCCTTCTCTGTTTCACAGACTAGCTTTTTTTTTTTTTTTTTTCTTTAAGAAGGGATGGGGCAGAGGGAGAGAGTCTTTTTTGTTTTTTTAAGATTTTATTTATTTATTTGACAGACAGAGATCACAATTAGGCAGAGGTAGACAGAGAGAGAGAGGGGGAAGCAGGCTCTCCGCGGAGCAGAGAGCCCTATGTGGGGCTCGATCCCAGGACTCTGGGATCATGACCTGAGCCAAAGGCAGAGGCTTTAACCCACTGAGCCACCTAGGTGCCCCCCACAGAGTAGCTTTTAAGGGCAAAGGCCATGCGGTCAGGCCTGGCCACGCTCAGGTGACCAATGAGATTGTAACACACACAGGAAACTTCACAGTGATGCTAGGTGACCAATTGAGTTACAATTTACCCTAGTAGACATTTGACCCAGCCTATTACACCTTGATTAGGATTGGCACCAAAAAGGCTCCTAAAGGGTGGCGGGGTGGGGGGCGGGCATACTCCTTGGTAGCTAGGGAAACAGTATGTAACCCCCCACTGATTGATGTCTGCACCTAGCCTGACCCACCCTTGTATCTGGGCTTTGTTACCTGGAACTGGTTTCCGGGACTTGTTTTTAAGTGAATCCCCTGGGGGAAGGAGAGCAGGGACAGTTTAAGAGTTAAACAACAAGGTTTCTGTTTAACATCAATGAAAGCCTCTTGCTAAAATATAAAAATATAAAATAGGTCCTTACAAAGGGTCAAAATTGTTCAGGGGGGAATGATGAGGGAGTAGGAGGCTGGCTGAGGACAAAGCAAAAGCTGGCACCTTGCACCCCCTCTCCACCTGCTCCCCTCCCCTCGGTAATATATGTGACATTCCTCAGGCACCCCTGACTGCCATAAACGAGAAACAAATAGTTAACTTGCAACGATCACAATCCTGCAAGAGAGGAGTCTCCCTTGGTTTACAAATGTCCTAGAGATCTACAAAGAAGTTACCTTATCAACAGCACAACTTCCAGAAGCAAATAACTCTGTTCCTCAAACCCTAATGTCACCCTCCCCTCCATAAACAAAACTGTAGGAGGCTGGGGTAGAGGAAATGTAAGTAAAGTTAAGTTTCTTCTATACCTAAATCTCACTAACAAAGACTATTGATAGCAGGATTGTGACATCCCACCAGGAATCTCCCAACTATCTTGATGTTTACCGCTTGCCAAAAGACAACATTGATCAGGCCACAAGACTTCCGGTATCCCTGCACCTTATAGACCCTCTTTAGCATATGAAAGCTCCACGGAAACCCCCCTTTTCCCTCACCTTCCCCCAACCGCAGGGTACATAACCTGCCATCCCTCACAACTTGGGGCAGCAGCTCTTTCTGCCCACGGGTTGTGTCCCCATGCTTTAATAAACCACCATTTTGCACCAAAGATGTCTCAAGAATTCTTTCTTGGTCATCGGCTCCAGACCTCACCCCACCGAACCTCACCTAGGTTCTAGAACTTCATCAATTAACATACAGTGTATTATCAGTTTCAGAGGTAGAGTTTAGTGATTCATCAGTTGCATGTAACACCCAGTGCTCATTACATCACTTGCCCTCCTTAAGTCCCATGCCCCGGTTAACCCCCTTCACCCCATCCCCCTCCTCTCCAGCAATCCTCCATTTATTTCCTAGAGTTAAGAGTCTCTTATGGTTTGTCTCCCACCAGTAATTAATCTTTAAGGCCCAAGCTATTTCCTGAGTTATTTGTGCAATAAAAGATGGTCCGTTGTCTTTGTAGGGACTGAGGGAGTCCAAATCTAGAGATAATTTCCTTTAGCAAAATTTTTAATACCTTAGTGGCCTTTTCTGTTCTACAAGGAAAGACCTCTATCAATCTGCTAAAGGTGTCTGTTTAAACCAGGAAGTATTTATATCCTTTCCATGATGGTATCTGCATAAAATCTAATTGCTGGTCCTCCCCAGGATATGTTCCCCACCTTTGGACTGGCTTTAAAAGCCAGGGGACAGGGGGGAGGCACCAATAGCTCCATCGGGATTTGGATGTACGCAAATAGCACAGGATTGAGAAACCTGTTCAATGGTAGTGATTAAGCGAATCCCATCAAAGGTGTTTTTAACCATTTGTTCCAGGCCTTTCTACCCAAACGAGTAGTCTGATGTATACCCTGCATTAATTTCCATTGGTTGCCTTTGAGTATAAGGACTTTTCCTCCATCAGTTATAAACTAGTCCTGTGCATTTTTTGAAAATCCCCATTCCTGGGCTACTCAGGTTTCTTGATCTGAATAGACTGGGGATACACATTTGTTGGCGGCAGGACTGGTAGGAGACTCGGTACTAGCAGGCTTTGAGCAGCCTCCCGGGCTGCACGTCTGCTGTGTTATTCCCTTCTGATTCCAGGGACCTGTCCTTTTTGATGTCGCCTGAGATGAATTACAGCCACCTCTTTCGGTTCATGCACAGCCTCTAGGAGATCTGTTATTTCAGGTCCATATTTAATGGGAGAGTTAGGACTTGATAATAGCCCCCTCTCTTTCCAGGTTGCCCCGTGCACCTGTAGGACCAGGAAGGCATATTTAATAGTCAGTATAGACACTGATTCTGAGATCCTTTGCCAATGGTAAAGCACAAGCTTTACTGCTACGAATTGTTTTGGGGGCAGATGTATTTGCTGGGAGAGCTTTGGCTTCAATAGTCTGAATTAGACTGACGACTGCATACCCAGCTTTTCTTATCCTCTTTTCCATAAAACTACAGTCACCACTAAACACTGTCATCTGCTTTATCAATAGGAGAATATTTTAAGTCTGATTGGCTAGAATGAATGAGGTCAATAACCCCAGAACAGTTATGTTCTATAGAAGTACAAGGGTCAGGTCTAGACATAATGACAAGTTTCTTTTTATTTTTTCTTTTAAGATTTTATTTATGTATTTGAGAGAGAGAGATAACAAGCAGGGGGAATAGCAGCAGAGGGAGAAGGAGAAGCAGACTGCTCACTGAGCAGAGAGCCTAATGCGGGGCTTGATCCCATGACCTGAGCCAAAGTTAGATGCTTAACTGACTGAGCCACCCAGGAGCCCCTAAGTCTGACAGGTTTTTTGTTTTTGTTTTTGTTTTGTTTTGTTTTGTTTTGTTTTTTTGACAGGCAGAGATCACAAGTAGAAGAGAGGCAGGCAGAGAGAGAGAGAGAGGGAGGAAGCAGGCTCCCCGCTGAGCAGAGAGCCTGATGCAGGGCTTGATCCCAGGACCCTGGGATCATGACCCAAGCCGAAGGCAGAGACTTTAACCCCCTGAGCCACCCAGGAGCCCCTAAGTCTGACAGGTCTTAAGGACCACTTCAGGTATGTTTAAAAGCACAGCCTGGTGTTTAGTAAGTTGCACACCACCCCCACCCCCGACTGTCCCAGTCATTCATTGCTAATCTTTAGTTCCTAAAACACTGTGGACCTGGTGTGAGGTCATCACAGTTTGGGACTGTCCCATACTAAGGTTTGAGGCTTCCTCTACCAGGAGTGCAGTCGCAGCCACCGCTCAGAGACGAGCCAGCCACCCTCGTGCTACACTGTCGAGTGACTTAGAAAAATAGCCCACTGGTCTTGTTTCATCTCCTATTTTGGGGTGATAACTCCCAAAGCTTGTCCCCATTTCTCTGCACGTATAAAGTAAAACATTTTTCTAAATGTGGTAGAACCAAGGCTGGGACTGATAAGAGCTTAGTTTTTAATGTTCCGAAGGCTGTCTGCTGGGCTTCAGTCCAGAGTAAAGGCTCTTCATCAAGACCTTTAATTCAATCATATAAGGGCTTGGCTATGAGCCCCAATCCAGGGATTCCCTAGGCAGCAAACGCCTGCCACGCCGAGGAAAGTTCAGAGTTGTTTCTTAGTAGTTAGGGGCTCAAGATCTAATAGAGCCTTTTTTCTATCAGTAGATAGACTATAGTGATATGGTATTAGTTCATATCCCAAATATCGTACTTTCTGCTCAGATATTTGCACCTTTTTAGGAGACACATGATACCCTCTGTCCGCCAAGAAATTAAGGTTACAGAATTTTTATCAGATTTCCTCTGTTGGACCTCAGATTAAAATATCCCCCACATACTGAATTATAGGCCCTTGAGGCAGAGTGGTATCACGGAGGTCTTTGCTAACTGCAGCCCAGAATAAGTGAGGAGGGTCTTTAAATCCCCATGGCAAGACTGTCCAGGCTCATTCAGCAGGCTGGAAAGGGAGTCCCATTCAAAGGGGTGCAAAAGAAGGTGTCTTTTAAGTACAGTAAACCAGTCGGCATCCCCAGGGACCAGGGTGAGAATAGTATATGGGTTTGGCACTCTGGGTTGAATACGTATGACTGCGTCATTTATGGCCCTTAGGTCTTGTACCACTCGATATTCTCCATTTGATTTTTCTTTTCTTTTTTAAAGAAATCATTTATTTATTTGAGAGAGAGAGATTAAGAGACAGAGACAGAGAACCATCATGAGCAGGGGAGAAGGGCAGAGGGCGAGGCAGGCTCCCCACTGAGCAAGGAGCCAGACGTGGGACTCGATCCCAGGACCGCACAACCCGAGCCAAAGGCAGACGCTTAACCAACTGAGCCCTCCCATTGACTTTTTTACTGGTAAAATTGGAGTGTTATAAAGAGAATGAAATTGTTTTAAAATACCGTATGTGAGAAATGTATCAATAAGTGGTTGTAATCCAGCCTTTGTCTCAGCCTTTGAGGCATATTGTCTTCTATAAGGCATAGCAACTGGGTCTTTTAAGGTCACTTTAACTGGTTGTGCTTTAAGAGCCCTTCTGGGGACGGTCCTGGGGCTTCACCTCGCGGTGGCGGACGCGGAGGTTTCCGCGGCTGCGGCGGGAGCGACAGGAAGTGAAGCGGCCCGGCCGGGCAACCGCGGCGGCAGAAACAGAGCGGAAGGGGCGCTGCGGCCACGACGTCGGCGACGGGGGTGGACGAGGGGGTTGAGCAGCCAGAGGAGTCGCCCGCTCGGAAGCCGGATCCCGAGCCGGGCAGGATGGATCATCACCAGCCAGGAACTGGCCGCTACCAGGTGCTTCACCCTGAAGAGGATAATTCCGAGTCCTCTGCCGAAGAGCAACCTTCAACGTCAAACGCAGCGCCGCAGCGCGTTCAGACGGCTCCTTCAGCATCAGTACTTGAAACGGACTCTTCTCCTCCCCCTTACAGTGGTATTACTGCGGAAGTACCTACAACTTCAGATACAGACGTTTACAGTGAGTTTTACCCTGTGCCACCTCCCTACAGTGTCGCTACCTCCCTTCCTACATACGATGAAGCTGAGAAGGCCAAAGCTGTTGCCATGGCGGCCGCAGCAGCAGACACAGCCCAGAGAATTCGGGAGGAAGAGTGGCCACCAAGAGATGACTTTAGAGATGCAGACCCGCTCAGAGTGGGTAATGATGGGATTTTCGTGCTGGCATTTTTCATGGCATTTATTTTCAACTGGCTTGGATTTTGTTTATCCTTCTGTATCACCAATACCATAGCTGGAAGGTATGGTGCCATCTGTGGATTTGGACTTTCGTTGATCAAATGGATTCTTATTGTTAGGTTTTCTGATTATTTTACTGGATATTTCAATGGACAGTATTGGCTTTGGTGGATATTTCTTGTACTCGGCCTGCTGCTTTTCTTCAGAGGATTTGTTAATTATCTAAAAGTCAGAAACATGTCTGAAAGTATGGCAGCTGCTCATAGAACAAGATATTTCTTCTTATTATAGAGACTGCATCGACCGGACATTCTTTTCTTAAACCAATGTGAAATTTCCAGATCATCTGTAAACGTACAACTTTAATAGGATAGAAGACTACTAAAAGCAGAAGACGAATTAGTGAAGAAAAGATACATCTTCAAAATTGAATGGCAGGATGGTTTATGCTTAAAAGCCACTTCTGTTCATTCTCTTAAATATTTAAATTTCATTTGTTTTGCACATTTGCATATGTGCCCATGTAAAAGATTTGCGTATGCTTGAAAGAAACTATAAAGTTGTAGCAGTGAAGTCCAGTCATATTTGGTTAATCAGTGTTTGATATAATTGAAAGGGGTGAGTGAGAAACAGTCTTCCAGCATGTAAATGCCATTGACTTCTGACCTGACATTTATTATAATAAAAATGGAATTATTAACCATGTCAAATGCTTTAGTTTCTGGCTCCTAGATTCATCTAGTGACTCTACACATGAAACGCCCTTTGTTATATATAGTTTTTTGAAAACTGCAGTGCTGATTATAGAAAAGCTTTGTCAGATTTTTGAACATGATATTTACATTATTATTTAGCAAACTTTCTGTAAATAACCATGCATAAATTACTTTCTGCATTGTTTTCTTAGAAACTGTGTCTGGATATCTTTTCAATTAATTTAAAATTAAGTGAACTTAATATATAGAGAAAATCTGGATGTTAAAGATAGTTTGTTTTAGGACAGATTTTAAGAAGATAAGGGTATTCCACATGTCCTTTAAGAGAACATCTTTTTGTTGTTTTCTTTTTAAGGCACATGCGAGGTTTAGGGATTCTCAGTCGAGAAGCTTGGTTTTTAAGATTGCCATCTTAAAAAAAAAAAAAGATTGCCATCTTAGAGAGTCTTGCAGGAAGAGATTGTTAGATACTATATTTATTTCATTTAAGACACTTTTGAAAATTAATTTTCTGAATAAGATATTCTCATTGGCATTTGTCTTTTAAAAAGCCAATAAAAGTATCTTTCCATTTTCATTGTAATAATTTTTTCTTTAGATGTTTAATTTGTTAAATGAAACAAATCAGAACTTGTACTAATAGCTTCTTGCTTTATGATTGTAGGATTAACATAAAATCATATCTTGAATTAAGATATGCAAAATAACCTGTTTTCAAGTTACAGAAATGTGTCTGTGTAATATGGGAGTGTGGTGTGTGTGTGTGCGTGTGGCAAAAGTATGCGTGTATGTGACCATTACTACAACTGGAATCTACATTCACAAGCTATTACATTTTGCAAATCATTTTATGTCTCATCTGTTTTCTTTTCAGTTCTATTTTTGTTTTTGAATGCCAACATTAAAAATGATGGGAATTACATCGTTTTAAACTTAAAAATCATTTAATATAGCTATAGAGAACATATAAAATTGGTTGTTTGTTTATAATTAGATACTGACTACTACTAAAAGATACATCTAAAACTATTCAGGGACATTTTTCCATTTCTGAAAAAATAAATTATGCTTTATAACTTCTTTTGTATTTCTCTGTATTTTCTGATTTCATTGTCTTTGATAAATAAAACATGCAGTTTTGTTTTGCTAAAAAAAAAAAAAAGAGAGAGAGCCCTTCTGGGGACATCACAATCCCAGACCTGTGGGTTAACTTCCTTCCAAATATCAAAACGGGTATCAGGGTAAGGGTTTTGTACTCCAAGTGTTAAAGAGAACATACCATCCTCTTCTTTTGTAAGAGCAAAACTGCTGGGGCGCCTGGGTGGCTCAGTGGGTTAAAGCCTCTGCTTTTGGCTCAGGTCATGATCCCAGGGTCATGGGATTGAGCCCCGCATTGGGCTCTCTGCTCAGCGGGGAGCCTGCTTCCTCCTCTCTCTCTCTGCCTGCTTCTCTGCCTACTTGTGATCTCCCTCTGTCAAATAAATAAATAAAATCTTTAAAAAAAAAAAAAAAAGAGCAAAACTGCTTCCTAGTTTATAGGTCAAGCCTTGCTCAAGTAATGGAATGGGACGAGACAGAAGGGCCAGAAAACCATGAGTAAGCAATTGGCTTTTGTATTTACAAATCAGAGTCACCGTCTGATGGTAGGTTTCAGTTTCCCCTTCTATAGGACAACTCTATGGCTAGAAAGACAAGTAGGGCCAGATGGCTGAACAAGAAAGACAAGTAGGGCCAGAGGGCTGAACAAGTGCCACCTGTCTCCATAAGAAAACTGATAAACTCAACTCCCAGGCAACTTCTAGGGCAACCCGGAACTCAATCATCTTGACATCAAAAGAGCCTGACCAACCAGCGTCAGGGTCCCGTCATGGAGGACCCTCCAGTTCCGCTTCCTCTCTGGCAGGACATGAGTGTCTGACCTCCTCTCTCTCTGGAGACGAGGACAGTCTCTCTTCCAACGTCCTTCTTTTTTACATGCCGGACATGGCCCAGGGGGAGAGCCCTTCTTGGGACATTTACTGCTCCAACTGAAGCGGGAGAGCTAGGTTCTTGTCTCGCAGAGTCAAAGAATGAAATCTCACAGACATTCATTCTTGTGAGTAAAGCGACAGAGTTTTTATTAAGCAAGGGTACAGAAAAAAGCTCTCAGGAGTGAAAGGGGTTCCAACAGGGGGGCCACTGAGAGCTTTTTGGGTTGGTCTTTCATTGAAACTTAACCAGGGAACCTGTATCTTTTTGACTTCTCTCCTGGCAACACCATTGATTAAGGGCTAGTGATAATGTCTTTAATGGCTTACTTCTTTTTAGGGTTCTGGTTATTTTCTTTTGACCGCAGGATACCGTCATAAATAAAGATTTTATTCATTTATTTGACAGAGAAAGAGATCACAAGTAGGCAGAGAGGCAGGCGGGGGCGGGGGGAAGTGGGCTCCCCACTGAGCAGAGAGCCCCATGCGGGGCTCGATTCTAGGACCCTGAGATCATGACCTGAGCCACAGGCAGAGGCGTAACCCACTGAGCCACCCAGGTGCCCCGAGACCGTCATAAATAAGACTTCCCTCTCGGACACCTAAGGCAGGTTGCTCTGGAGCATTCCCTTGTCTCTGGTTTCCTTACACCTCCGCATTTGGGAGATTTCTATGAACCTGATCATGGAGCCCCTTACCTCTCTCTCCCTACCTAGCCCCGCCTGCCCCTTTCTCACGATGTCCAATCTGGCCGCATCGGAAGCATGGGGTCTCACCCGACCTTTCACCCAGAAGCGGCCCCTGCCTCCTTCTGGGTTAGCCGGGTGTCATGGGGCGTTCTCAATCCTGGCAGCCAGTATTCGAGCTGGTGTCTCACCCTCTAATTTAGCCCTCTGGTCCTTTTCCTGTTTTAATATCATGTCCCTATTACTAAAAACTCCTGTGGCCACCTCCAAGAGATGTTGAGTAGGTGTTTGAGGGCCTAAAGCCATTTTAGGTAGATGTCCGGTACAGACAGATTTATAAACTGCCTGTTTAAAATAGTTATTCCTTCAGGTGTCCCTGGGTCCAGGTTTCCATACTTGCCGATAGCTTTGTCTACTAAGTGACTCCAAAATAGAGCAGGATTTTTATCAGCTCTTAGTGTGACTTCCTGAATTTTGTTAAAATGTATACCTTTAGTAAAGCCTTTTCTCATTTCTTCTGTCAGGCAGGTGATCATACGATCTTGTTCCTCTCTTCCCTGATTAGCCTCCTGATAGTTCCGATGTGACTCAGTGTTTGGGACAGCAGCGCCCCCACCGGATAATGTTCTCTGTCCCTTGTTGTCATCAGCAAACTCTTGCGCGCCTAGCCAGATGTGGTTGTTTTTCCCCTCAGGGGTGCAGCACCGAGTTAGTATGATTGAGATAGATAGATAGATGCAATATTATATATATGTATTTATATTTTATTATATATGAATTATTATTTTTATATTATTTATATAATATTTTATATATACACATATATATGGCCAGATCAAATCAAACCTAATGGATATTTGTTGAAAACCCTCAATAAATGGAGAAGGGTTTTCAGAATATTGTCCTAATTGTTGTTTTGACTGTAGTCTGCCCTGGAGAACGGGACGTGGACTCGTATAGTGCCCATTTCTCCGTTGGCAACCTCCCAAGGAGGATATAACGCTGATTTAGGGGAAGCTCCAGGGAGGTAAGGAGTCTGCTCCTCATGTGCTCAGCTGCGCTGGGTAGAGAAGGGCCTTCAGGCTCATAAGGAGAAGTGACAGGATCGAAGTCCTCTTCATCCGGAGAGGCCTGTGCTTCCTCTGACAACTCAGATTCATTAGTGTTCAGACAATCATTATCCAATACATCAGGAGGGGATTTGTTGGTCTGATAAGTGGCTGAACACATTCTGCAACAGGCCCTTAGGTCCGGAACCTGATCTAGAGGCAAGAAAGCCCCAACATAGAGCATCTCTGTCCATTTGCCCCATTTCTTGAGATAGAGATCTAGATTGTATAAAAGTTTACTGTCCCGTTAATGGGCCATTTTTCCTTGTCTCGTAAGGAGTACCGAGGTCATGCATTGTTACAGAAGAAGATTAGTTTCTTTTTCCTTAGATCTTTTTTTTTTTTTACGATTTTATTTATTTAGGGTGCCTGGGTGGCTCAGTGGGTTAAAGCCTGTCTTCGGCTCAGGTCATGATCCCAGGGCATCAGGCTCTCTGCTCAGCAGGAAGCCTGCTTCCTCCTCTCTCTCTGCCTGTTTCTCTGCCTACTTGTACTCTCTGTCTGTCAAATAAATAAATAAAATCTTTTTTTTTTTAAGATTTTATTTATTTGACAGAGAATTTTATTTATTTGACAGTGTATAGAATAAATTATTATTTATTTGACAGTGTATAGAACTTAAACCCCTTCCTGAGCTGACTTCTTCTGAGCTTCAATTCTCTCATCTGAAAATATAATTAAGTTATTGAAAGGATTAAATGGGGTAATGTGTATAAAGCACTTAGCACACTTCCTGGGACCTCCCTCGGGAAGTGGGGGCCACTGTCTTTACAGGAGACCAAAATATACCCCAGTCATGGCCCTTACCCCCTACACCACCTGCTTCAGCCTGGGAGACTCCTTTTCTGCAGAAGGCAGACGTGGCTCCTCAGGAGTCATCAGCGAGGG